GTGTGTGTGTGTGTGTGTGTGTGTGTGTGTGTGTGTGTGTGTGTGTGTGTGTGTGTGTGTGTGTTTGAGTCTAGAGTAAAATCTGGTGAGAAAGAGAAATAAAGAGAGGAGCAATGAGAGAAAGGGTTGTTCAGCAGTGATTGCCTTTTCTACAGAAATGTAGCATGACTTCCTGCCCCGCAGGGTTAGTGTTTCACCGATGCCACTGAAAATCTCATTACAGGGATTATGTACATAATTGGCTAAGTCTATGGATGACTGAGTCAGCCATCCCAGGCCTACTGTAGACGGTCAGACAGACACATACAGAGAGACGGATAATATATACTAGATGCTGGCTCATAGAAAATATGGTGTGTAGTCCACTCTTGATGTTTAAGCTTTAATCTATAGGTCTTAGCATTGCCTAATGAGGTTACTCAAGTGGTGATCTTGCTTAACAACTAACTTAACAACTCATCCAGCTTTCCTGTCAGTGGATTTTTGCCAAGTAGACCTCCTTGTGGATCTCCAGCTGCCAGGGGGATTTCAGGAGACATTATGAGTCAGCAAGTGGTAAAGACAGATAAGAGCTCTAATGGCACATTAAACACCAGTGTTAAGGAACTTGTATCATAACCCATAAGTCATGCAGCTTTGTTTTACTGCAAGGCAAAAAGGTATGTCTGCAGGAGTTGTTTTTTTTCTTAAACGTCATTGTGGGATTGGTCGAAGGCACTGCAGCACTTTAGGGAAACTGTTAAAAAAAATATTCGTGAGCTTTGGAGTAAGCATGCAAGACACGTCGTTCCCTCTCAGATAGAGAGGCGCAGTGGTAGTGAGTCTCAAAGAGAATAAAAGCAAAGTATCTGTTCAATATGATATCCACTGATCTGACAGCCAGGTTCTCTAATGAAGCCTCATTCCGGTTTCAGAAATCTCTTACCAGTGTGTTTCTGTACATCCATGTGAGTGGATCCACAGCATTTGTGCATGTGTGCGTGCCCCTGTTTAAGCATCATGTAATAAAACTGGGAAGTCCCTTATCAGAAACACCATAAAAGCACCTCTTTGTGTGCCTGTGTTCACTCAAACGACCTCTCCCAGTGTCAGATGTTATTACATTCAATTTCACCTGTATGCATCTGCAGTCGTAGTAAAACATCATCCATGCAACTTGCAGCAACACACACGCACGCACACGCTCTCGCTCTCTCTCTGACGTCACAGGCTGGCTAAAGCATGGTCTGGCCATAAATCAACTCTAGATGTAGCTTTGTCCTATTAGAGCAAGGAGAAAAACCTAATTATGCTTGATCAAGAAGAACACTCTGCAGAGACAGAGAGTGGAGAGAGAGGCGAGGTAATAAAAGGAAGGACAGAGTTAGAGAGATGGGGAGAGTATAAAACAGGAGGTGAGGGGAGGCAGTAAAAGGAAGGGAACAGCAGGTTTAAAAAAAAATGCAAGCAAGGAGAAAATGAAAAGGATCTGGCGAGAGGAAGAAAGCCAATTCTCTTTGTGCTGTTTTTTCTCATGACGAGTGCAGTCGACAGACAGTTTTGTCATAAATCACATTTTCCGCCTTCCACCCTCACCCATACTTGCTATGTGGTATCTGTGCATACATTAATCTTTTGACCTCAGCCTCTCCCAGCCTGCAGCCACTCAGAGCTATTAAGTGATTAATTCCCATGGCAGGGAAAACTGGCACCTTAACCCATGGTCATGTGGAGACTGTACAGTTTAGTAACTCTATTCAGGAGCTCAGCATAAAGTCACATTGTAAGCATCCTAAGAGCGCCGCTTAACTTAATTGTGTTAAGGGTATCACCATATATAGCTTGTTATTGGGCTATATTTCAAACACGGAGTTGAGTGATTCATGCTTTCTTCTTCCTTCTAACAATGCGACCTTTAATTTCAAAAGGAAAAAACAACGCTTAATTTTTTCCTTGTGGTTCCGCCTCACTTAGCATTATATAAACTGATGGGTGATGGTGTGAATGTTAACATTTTTGCAAGTACACTCACCATAGTGTGGTATGATGGCCCATGCCATAGCAGATGCATAGATCTCACCAATCATCCAGAACATACACAGCCAGCTGAGGTGCTCTCCTCTTTTCTCCCTGGACAGCACCTCGGCAAAGAAGGAAAAGACGATGGGCACAGCACCTCCTATCCTGCAAGAACCAGAAAACAGGAAGATTAATGAGACTAAGGCAGATGCATTTTGTTTTTTGCATCATTCGCATAGTTTCACGTTTATCCCACAGTTTGTACCGTCCTTTGTTGTTTCAATTCACCTGTACAAAAAAACCCCAAAATGACTTGAAAAACTGTCAGTTAGTAATCAGTTAAATTGAGGGCTCTTTGCAAAGACCTGTAAAGTGAATGAGTAAGCAGAAAATAGCACAGCTATTGGAGAGCCTTTTCAATTACTCTCGAGAATGATGTCAATGCATTTGCTGAATTAGGCCTTAAAGGACTGGTTATACTGCCAAAGAAAAGAACGCAATAAATCACAGTCATATGTCTATGCTATAAAAAGAGTACATGCTGTCTGTCATTTTCAAGCACGCTCTGCTCATTTTAATGCATTGCAGGAATCCCTAAATTCACAGTTAGTATAAAAGTTTGCTGACAGAGTGAAGAATTACATTGGCCATAGTTCTGGTAAAAAAGTAATAATTTTTATTACAGCTATTACTATTTTATTAATAATTATAATTAGCCTGATTTTTTTCATCACTTTTCAGAGGATGGGAACAATCAGGAAAAACAGGGATTTGTCTTTGATTGTTGGACTTGCTGTGTTACCCTCCCACTGTGGTGGCATTGTGCAACCTCCGGTTTATCAGACTCACCCGAAACCCGCGACGAGACGGCAAACGAGGAAGAAGCCATATCCCTGGACGAAAGATGACAGGAAGGCAAAGAAGCCATTCGTGGACATGCAGATGAGGAGGCATTGTCTACGGCCCACTTTGTCAGACATTCCTCCCCAGAAGAACGCTCCGACCATCATTCCCAAGTACACAACACTGCCTGGAAGGAAGAGAGAGTGGCCATATTTTTATTTTTTTGTTAAAATATAGTCGATTACCTCACATCTCTACATTGTGTATGTGCACTGCAGTGTATGATTGTGTTGGTTTGCTGTGTAATTTCTTCAGTTACTAGACCAGAGTATTTGTTAATTCATTAAATGAGTAAAAAAAAAAACTATACTACTACTTCTCTCCACAAACTCCTGGGTTGTGTTCTGTTACTGGATTTCTCTGCCAATCACGGTTTATCCATAACAAGCAACATGTTTAAGCATAACTGTTCATAAGTATGTTGAGGTTCATAAGAGAGGGGAGACAGTGAGGCGGACATCATGGGAATCTGATGTGGTAAAGAGAGAGCTGAGTGTAAACTCTGGATAGAGTTTTTAAAAAAGAGATCACAGATAGCAGTGGCTGAAATTAACTTCCTCTGAAGTTTGGCTGGGCTCTCCCTTAGAACCAGGATAAATAGCTTGGTCATTTTGGAAGTACACAGAGTGGAGCTGCTATTCCTCCCTATCGAAAGGAACCAGTTTAGGTGGTCTGGCCATCTGACCGTCACCTGGGCCAGGCGTTTATGGCATGTCCAACCAGGAGGGGCAGACCCAGAACAGGCTGGCAAGATCACACCTCAGTGTCCCCTCTGCATGAGGGGAGGGAGGTCTGGACTTTTCAGTTTAGATTATGCCCCTGCAACCTGAAGCTGAATAAGCTGCAGAAAATGAATGAAAAGCTAGACTGCATCCTAAAGTTAGAGCTCCAAGTGCAGATACTAAACCCTAAACCCCGTCTGAAAAGCCTCTGCCCCTGTAACACACTTAAATAACTGTAAAACTGTAAATACAGTGTGTAAAAAACAAGAAAGAAAAACAGAAAACAGGCTCCGAACAATGAGACAAATGTGAACGGTAATGCAGGATGACTTTACAAAAAGGTCCTCTGCCCTCTTTTAATCTCTCTCATCACAGATGAGATCAATGCTCCAACAAAACAGCATTGATTTTTTTCACTAATCATCATGAATCTGCCCGGAAGAGTGGAGCCTGTTATTACTGTTTTAGTCTGCACTGTAATTGGCAGTGGAATGGTTAGTTCATGGACATGTAGCGTCTGCTGAAATTTCTTTCATTGATGTTTCCGTCCCAGGCTGGAAAAATAGCAGAGTTTACTAACAGATTATATTGAAGCTTTATCAATATCCAGGTATTTTCAGACACATAATCATAAACCTGGTTTAGGGAGGTTATTTTTATCCGTTGCAGTCACATACAAAGAGATACAACTCTGCCGCGGGGCACTTTGTTCATCCCATTACAATAATGTTAATAGCAAGATTCATTTCCTTTCTGTAATGTCTCCAGTCAGGTCTCTTCTCCTCTGCTGTGAGCAGATATCTGTTTGACTCTTTCACTTCAGGGGTCAAAACGCAGCTATCTGTCACATTTGGCAGCCATCTAGATACTCGCCTCAAGGTATCATAAATTCAATTCTAAATTTAACGGAAGTCCTCAGTCTATGCACAGTTCACATTTACTTCATTAAGGGGAGGCTAGATATGCAATGCACAGGCAAACACCCATTGGCCTCCCATTTAAATGTCATGCATCCAAACATCCAGAGGCCTTTTTATGTTTCCCAGCATTAAACCTTTCACACAAACAATACACTTTTTGGGTTTTTTTAGAGATGCAAGGAAACAAGGGAAAATAATCAATCATTCGTTCTGCCTTAAAGTCAGTTTAAATAAATAAATAAATAAAAGCAATAAAACTGCTAACAAATGAGTACATCTCTCACAGGACAGTCAATTACGTAATGACTTTATTGATGTTCTGTCCGGCTTGCTCCGCTGTATTCTACTGCACGGCGTCAGCAGCGCTCACACCAGCGGTTGGGACTGCAGTGCACTGAAGTGTAACATAATGCAAAAGTAGCACAGACATGTTCTGACTGTAAATGACACTTATCATGTTCTAAATGTGTGCTGCATCCATAATACTGTGATTTTTAAATTAATCATTAAATAAGTCATTTTAATTCAAATATTTATTTTTGTTTTTTATTGTCAGTTTGCTACATGTACAGAACTACGGTGGCCCCTAGAGACAAAGCACATACAAATTCCAAAGCACATGCAAACTCCAAAACACAGTGGAAGTGCTCCAGGACGCTAGGGGCAGTGTTGAGCTCGATTTGCAAAATAAACAAGTTTGTTGCAAACACATGGAGTTGGATGCCAGCGGAAAACACCTGCAAGGACAGAGCAACAATGCTTTATAAGAAAGGTAATGTGCAAACTGTTGTTTGATTTGTTTTTAATTACTATGAATACTTAGTTTACGGTAGGGTGACCATATTTTAATTTCCAAAAAAGAGGACACTTGGCTCAGTCATGAAAAACTTGCTTAAAGAAACATATTTACCATATTAAAACGATGCCTTGTCTGTGCAGTTAATGAATTGTGAAATACAATATGTCATGTAGGCTTTTACAAGTCAACAAGAGCAAAAAAAATTAAAAATTAAAAGCCTCGGAAATGAAATAATGGTACAGAAATAATACCTCATCTGCATAAGAAAAATTACCAGTACTGGGTCGGTGCAAGAGAAATGTCTTTTGCAGTTCTTCTGAAAAGATGCACTTGCGCTTTGGGATCTTTTAAACATCATTATAATGATAATATAATAGGCACTTTGCTGCGCGCTGTCTGTCACGTCTGTGAGCGCAGAACAAGCGCAAAGCAGCAGTTCAGAAATGACGTTACACACATGGGTCCTCTGTCGGCCTATCCGGTTGTTCAGACGGACGTCACTAGCAGTGTCTGGGTCTAAACTCCGCTGCGGGTCCATATATCAAACGATCACTATGGCATTACTGAGAGTTGAAAAACTGTCTAAAGTCTTTCATCGTTAATAAAATGATCAGCGTTCTGCTCTACCAGGTGTAACAATTGAGTTTAACATCCAGGCATCCATGAAAACGGAATTTATGACATTTAACAGAGTTAGAAGTTAGCAGGATGTTAGCTCGCTAGCTTCTATCTAAATACAATATAGCATGTCCTGACTGCGGGGTTTTGGAAACAAAATTAAAACGTACAGCTCTGCTATCACTTCCAGCATAAATGAAGACAGAAAACTAAACAGCAGTGACGTTTGTAGGGTTACTTAAGTTGGGCTAGCTGGTATATAATGATGTGCTACGTGACCACTAGCGACACAGCTATGTTAGCATAATATAAACAAGCTAACTTTTTTCCCCACTCGATAAAAGTTAACGTGAGTATTCTCGGTGGTCAGAAACAAATGTAATCGCATGGCAGGATGCTGTAAAAGGACCAAACTTCAGCCAGGAGAACAACTGAGATAATCCATCCACAATACGAGGTTAGTCATTCATATACTGCTGCATGGGCTGGGCTGTAGTTACATCCTAAGGTTTTAAAAACTGAGCTTAAATAAATGATTAGTGGTAATAAAAGCCGAGGGAGGTCAACAGTGATCACTGACTGTTTTAGGAGCTTTTTGAGATCAAATAGAAGAAAATACATAACATTAAACATGTTAACAACACAGAAGCCATATTAAACGCAGACTACTTTAGACCCGGAAGTAGGATTCGTCGCGTCATCACTGAACAACCGGATAGGAAAACCTGGACATTTTTATCAAACTCGAAATTCCACCCGGATGCCCCGGACTGAACGTGAAAACTGGACATGTCCGGGGAAAAGAGGACGGTTGGTCAACCTAGTTTACGGTGGAGTCAAATCTGGCGTTAGCTAGCAGTCAGTGTGCTTTGCTCAGAGAGAACCTCAACACTGCCCCTAGCGTCCTGGAGCACTTCTGTTGTGTTTTGGAGTTTGTGCATGTTTTGGAGTTTGTACGTGCTTTGTCTCTAGGGACTACCATACAGAACAACTGAAAAGAAGACTTAAGAATATACAATAGTGCAGTACTGCAAAATTTAAATTAAATAGAGTAGCCTGTGAGTTGTTCATGGACAGTAGTGCAACATCCATCTTCTTAGTGAGTCACACACACTTTATGCAGTTCAGAAAGTCAGACACGAAGAACTCTTTGCTCCAAGGTAACAAATTTAGATTTTTTTTTCTTTTCTACACATGTTCCAAAAAGGATCTATTAAAGATAATTTTGATCGCTATGAAAGCCCAGAAATGGTGGGCTTTACTTGCCAGACATTACATTTTAATTCGGGCACAATGCATTAGATGCAGATTTGCATCTTTTTGCTGAGATGCATTTAGGCTATATATCTAATATATACCTAACCCAAATGCCAAGTGTATCATATTGGATACATGGGTTTTAGTGAGTTTTTGAGAGCTCTACAAGCCAAATCCGGCAAAAAAAAAAAAATACAAATTAAAACTGATACTTATATGTATTTTTTGTAATGTTTCAGAAGATTCAATAAAAACTCATGTTTAACTATTTGAATGGTTTGGTCTTTACAGTGTATCTAAAGCTGTGAAGCCCTGCTGTATATGCATAACACTGTGAAATACAGCTAAATTTAGAAGTGAAGACCCGTATAGACTCTGAGCACCATCAGAAGATGACAGTGTGTCAGGAGACCTCTCACACAGAAGCAAAAGGTTTTGCCCTGTGACAGTATGTTGAGATGTCAAAACACATCTCCAAGAATAATAAATATTCATCAAAATCTCAGGCACCCTCACACATACACACACACATACAGAGTAAAGCAAAGCTGCACACACAAACACAGATAATTGAGGAGTAAATCTGAGATGCTCGTTAAATTGTTAAAAATTCATTTATTTGCCTTTGTTGTTGTTAAAATAGCCAAGAGGAAGCTAGATTAAGAAAAGAAAACACAAAATAAGAGGGAATTGAGGATCGAGCACCAATATACGTCCAAAAGTAATGAGGGGGGAGATATGTAACGCAGGAGGAGAGTTCAGTCACTTCCAGATATGGTGAGAGAAAAAGAGCGTGAGGAGGAGGAGAGAATGGGGAAGGCCCTGGTGGAGTGTTTTCTGCCCTGTCACACACCAAGGAGCCCCCTGAGAGCCGTGGGAGCGCTTAGCTGCATCACGACCTCTTCTCTGATTTCACGCTTTGATGCTCTTCGCTCTTAGCGGTGCAAACTGTTTCGGCGTCGCGCAAAAACACCCATCCTGCTTTATTCATAATGATGATGCTATCGTGCATCAGCACGCCTGGTGCATGCTGCGGCTCAGCTGTGGCACCTTTCTGTACCATCCCCCCCTCCTGCTGTGAGTCCCTGCATTACTACCATTCCCCCCTATTTGTCTTTCCCCCAGCTTTGCACCCTCCTTTGCTTTCCAGTTTCCTCTCTCCTGTCTTCTGTGCTTTCCTTCCTATTTACAGTATTTACTTTAGCTTCATCCTAGCGCCTCTGTCAACAGCTCCTTTACACTGAGCAGCGTGTAATCACATTTGTACTACATCGTGTCAGTTTGACCGGATTCGTGTCTCCTTCTTCTGCCACCTCCGCAGAAGATGAGATTGAAGCTTTGTGTCATATTTAAGTCGTATCAGTGGGGGCAGGATTTCTATGGAAATAACCTATTGTAGGGCTTAGAGCGCAGGGTTTAAAAATGACTCAGTCCCAATCAGTAATGATCCAACCTTCATTAACAGTACAGATTGTGATAATTCACATAAAATAGTGATGTTGTGAAACCCTGATAAAGGCGAGCAGTTGGACATGGTGACAGCAGGTTTGGTCCACGCACAGATATTCAGTCCCATCGAGCATCTCCCCTCCCTCAGTCCACCACACACATTCTCCCACACAACGTGGAGCTAGCTGGGCTATTCGAGCAGTGTAATCTCCGCAATGACGCTGCTATCTTACTGCAGTTTAGCCATGCTCAGCTGCCCCAGGACCGCGCAGCCCCACACAGCCTGCCAGCTGGCTCAGACCGACAGGGAGAAAGAAAGGGAACGATAGGAAATGAGAGGAGACAACAAGGGAGGAGCGCTGTAGAG